TCTTGCAACCTACTTTAAGCTAAGCATCCAACAAAATCCTTCTATAGATACGGAGAAGGAGGAGATACGAGAGAGTTTCATATGCTTCGATTGTTGGGAGTTTGATGTATATCATGGTATGTACGAGGCCCGATATTGCTCATGCTTGTTGGGGTAGTTAACGATTTTTGTCAAATCTAGGAAATGAGCATTGGATTGCGAGTTAAGTGGATAATGAGATATCTTAGAGGCACAAGCAGTTTGAAGTTGTCTTATGGTGCTAGAAAATCGGACTTGATTGGCTATATAGATTTAGACATGGCAGGAAACATTGATTCTCGTAAGTCAACATTTGGATATTTGATTACTTTTGCGGGAGGAGCCGTGGCTTAGTGATCTAGGCTCGCAGAAATGTGTTACTTTTTCCACTATCGAGGCGGAATTCATTACGACAACGAAGCTTGTAAAGAGTTGCTATGGATGAAGAAATATGTTTAGGAACTCGGCTTCGAGCAAGATAGGTATGTGTTATTTTGTGATAGTCGAGTGCTATCCACCTTGGTAAAAATTCTAAATTTCATGTTAGATCGAAGCATATTGATGTTTGATACCATTGGATTAGAGATGTTTTGAATTGCAAGTTGTTGGAACTTAAGAAAATCCACATTGATGATAATGGTTATGATATGTTGACTAAAGCATTACCAAGGGAGAAACTTGAGGCTTGTCGTTTAGTTTTTGGGATGGCGAATACCTCCACCTAGTCATGAGGGGGAGATTTGTTGGGTTTCCCTCCTAGTTGGAGGATGGCCCAAACGTTTGCTGCGTGAGCCCAATTTTGGAGCCCATGTAGAGGAGGATTTTTTAATCACTTAAAGGGTAATTTTGATATTTTCAAATAAAACATATCTTGTCTTTTATTCTGAAATCAGATTAAGGAAGACGCAAGAGAGAAAAAGAAGAGAAAAGGAGTTAGAGCCGCAACTTTTGAGAGAAAGAGGAAAAATAGTTTCAGCACGAGATCGGTCATGTTAAAATTGAGTTTTTGGATTCGTTAACCGTTGGATCGAGCTCAAATTTGGTGGGAACGTTTAGGAGAGGCGGATGAACATTTGGACGGTGGCGATCTGGTTTTGAGTCCTAGAGAGGGAGATATTATCTCGTAACGGTGCTGTTTTCCGGTGAAATTTGAACTTGGTTTCTTCTACTTTCTTTGTGTATCATGTTTTGATGTGGTTTGCCGGGGGTGTGTAACCTTTGATGTCCGTGGCTGCTTATTCATCTAGTTTAATCTAGAGAGGACTCCTTATACCCATTATTGTTGATAGTGGAAGTTATAGTGGACTCCGATCTCGTGGTTTTTACCTTCTCAAATTGAGGAGGTTTTTTACGTAAAAATTTATGTGTGCTTTATGTGATTGTGATTGGTTGCTTATTTTTTAGATTATTAGTTACTTGTTTGGCTTGGGTATTTTTGGTTGTAACCTGTGATTGATTGTTCAAGCAAGGGCAAAGGGGTTCCGTTGTGTTATTTATGTTTCTTTGCCCAACAGGTTGACCAAGAGATCCTTAGTTCAAGTCTCATCATCTCTAATTTCTCAAGTATTAAGCACTAGGCAATGTTGACTCGTGCAAGTTTCAAGCTTAAATGTTAGGGTTTTCATTTGAGGAGATGTGTTAGAGATTAATATAAATTATGTTTTGAGGCCTCACTTATCGAACTTAACGTGAGATAATGTTTTTTTAGATGAGATGATTCTTTAATAAAACTAATTTATAATTTGCTCAAATTATGTATACGAGTTTGAGAAGGAAAAAAAAAGGCAATAGAGATATTACCATTCGAGAATGGCTATTTCTGCTCCAGGCACATTTCTTGCACTTGTTACTTAAGTTTGAAAAACAAGACAAAATCGCTTGGACCTAGTTCCTTTGAACCGAGAAGGATTGATGACCAAAATCATTTATTGTTTGAGGGTTCGTAGTACTCCTACAACTCTTGGTGTTCGTATATTCACAAATCTTTCTCAAATTTGAATCCAAACAACTAAGCAACTCTCATCGTTTTGTGCAATCAAAAGTATTTTTAAAACGCCAAACGAGTGCAACGTTATGGAAAATGAAAACAAAATGATACAAATTGGTTTATACTTGATTTTAAAGGAGTAAATTATGAATTATCAACACGGAATAATCACGTACGTTAATATGCCAAACATGCCCATGCAGATGAATTGCTTTGATGTTTTAATTATGGTACTTTACGCATACATTGTTACGGTAATTATTATTTAACGGCTCTATTTATGTGTTAATGATCGATAGATGTAACCATTCTATTGATACGGAATGCGTCCGTCTAACATTCTACTCTCCAATAAAGAAATGGCTAGGTTTTGTCTAACCGTGACAAAAGAGAAGATTGAGAAACTTATCTGTCTAATTTTATTTTTCAATCACTTTCGCTATGATTAAGATATACGCCTCCTTGTTTATTTTTTTTTGGTTGGTTTCGAAATCTATTACATTTAGCTCGGCCTATTGTTTTAGTCGGGATGCAAGATCTAGGAATCTATCTTTGTCGTGCATGGGAATCTAACTACAAGGATTAGAAGGGTCTAAAAGTATCGCATTCTATTTTCCAATGGCTTTTCTAATTTTTACATTGCCTTGCATTTTTTATTTTGAACCTTCGTTTGTTGAGTAACTTTTGTTTCTTTTTGTGTCTTAATACTTGAGAGCTACACTATACCACACTATTAATTAATCACGGTCCCGATACTTGATATAGTTTTGAATTAGCAGAGCCGGGGAAGCGTCTTTAATTTCTTATGGCCATTCGGATAAGGATACGGTAAAATTCAAAGAAGATATGCCACGGAAAATGATTATGAAGGACATAAATTAGGTATTTGTCTTAAATCAACAACTAAGCATTGTTGATTCTTGGATGGAAATGTTGCCGAAAACGTAGTCATTGAGATAAAATTGAAATTACTATAAAATGGCTAAGCACTATGCCGGATCACAAAAGTTAGGAAAATGCTAAATGATTCAAAAAACATTTTGAATTTTCGATCAAATTAATATAGATTTTTTACATTTAAAAATTATAATTTGACTATCATGAACTATATTTGATAAATAATAAGTTTTTTCAACTAGTTTTATAATATTGACCATACATGGAGGTCACATGACGATCATAAAAAATAACACGTATTACTCTAATTGATATTTTTATGCATGTGTCACATTTTAAATTTAAGTTAGTAAGATACGAAATTTCCAGCTACAATAAATGAAGAAAAAAAAGTCTGTAAAAACTTATTATTTATCAAAAAATAGTTTATGATAATCAAATTAAAGTTTTTTAAGAGTTAAAACCTATGTTAATTTGACTATGAAGGTTCATAGTGTTTTAATATCATTGATCAGCTTTAGCAAACATATCAAAATTTGCACTTATAAATAATATTCGACTATTGAACCAAATAGAGTCGATTGCGTTTTCGAAAGAGAAGGTTCGGTGGACATCGAAGAGGAAATCAATGTGAATAGAATATAATGGGGTCCTAAATCCAAATCATATCATGCATGCCACCAAGGATTCTTTTTTGAAAAAAAAAAAATTAAAGTCAAAATCATGTAAACCTATGGATAAAAGGCTCGATCTTGTATTGAGAAGGGCTCGAAGAATCTTCGAGTAGTCGTGTTAAATTTTTCAGCCCTGTTTTAATTTTATTTTTGTCGATAAATTGTTTCGAGAAAACAAAGCTTTTCGAGCAATCGCAAGATGCATAAATCGAAAAGGAGATGCCTTAGTTAAAATACCTCGTCGAGTATACATGGAGGGGTTGTGTTCTTTACGGTTTGTCATTACAACTTAGCAAGGCACCGAAAGAGATGGAACAAAGACTTCGATAAATACACATGCATAAAGGATTACTTTCTACCCAAACCGTATCTTGATTTCTTAGTGCACAAGGTTCGTTCCGGAAAGGCAAATCCAAGGACAAAAGCATTTGTAAACCGGTTCCGTTTTGGCACAAATAATGCTAGTTAAAGAATAATATAAATTATATCTTAATATTTTATCTAATACCTTTAAGCTTTTGGATTGAGAATGTTTATTGACATGGTATCAAAGTTTTAATAATTAAATGGTTGTAGTTCAAATCTCAAATGGTTAAGAGTTCAAATATCATCACCTTCATTTTTCTTTTAATTAATTAACTAAATATAAAATAATATGAATCTGTATAAATTTTAAACCTAAAAGATTTTTACTTGAAAAGATGTGTTAAAAAATAAAAAATTAAATATGTTAAAAAATAATATAAATTATATCTTACGTGTCTTCGAAGTGGTTTTTTAACGATACTGCATGTAAAAAGCAAATCCTTTACAAAAGTTCAACAGTTTCTTTATTTTTTTGAATAAAAATAAAGGATTTCAATGTTTAGTTATCTAACTGAAATAAACTTTGTATTTTAATAAACACTTTGATCTAAATTAAAATTTAAAACATATGCACTGACCATGTACAGGTGCCGTAAAAGTCTAAAACAAAATGAAACAAGCTAGTACTTTGTTCAGAGCAATTATTTGTCCAAAAAAAGAAAAGAAAAGAAGTACTTGGTAATGAGTATTGCCTTTTTAATTAAAAAATCTACAAGTCTTTTTTTTTTTTTAATGGATAATTATTCAGTTTTCTTGAAAGTCCTTTAAAAAGAAGAAAAGTATGAAAAATGTATTTACTAATTACTTTTTGTTTAGAAACGCGTGTTTTTATTTTTCTAGTTTTTAAGCATAGCTTCTTCTTTTTTCCAAATATTCAACGCACGCCTTATTTGGTTCACATAATCTTTGCATCTCCTTATGGTTCATCGTTTTAAAAATAATTCAAACGAGACCTTTTGTTTTCTATTTTAGAAAGGAACTGTAGAATGAAAGTTGAAAGTAGGAATAAAAATTGAAAATTGGATGTTTCTGAAAATAAAAAATAAAAATATGAACACATGCATTACGTCAAGCGGTTAATCAACCAGGGCCTCGAAAAATTGAAAGACAAAAAAAGTCCATTTCTTAATGTGGGCCGGGAATTGACAGACATGTGCCTTCTAGAATCAAAACTTCGCAGATTTTACTCTTATGAAAACGCAATTTGATGCTCGATGTTGATGGAGCTCCAAACGGTCTGAGATGACCACTTACGTCTGTGCTTCTTTCAGCCCACATGCACTACGTACGTAAATCATAAATGGGTGCTGTCCTGAAGCTAACCATCACCCAAGAGGGGCAAAATAATGTTCTCGTGTGGTAATTTCCTACAGCCAAATGAAAAGGACTTCTTAATGCATTCCTAGCAAATATATTGCAAATAGGCACATATATTCATAAGCAATAAGATAACCACATATATATTTGCAAGAAAACATTGAGTTTTTTTAACATATACACAGAATTATATATAATTAACCTTCTCATTATATGTAGAACAATATAGCCGTCATCTATCCATCATTAAAATAAACTAACAAAAAGAAAAAAAATTATTTAGAGTAAATTACGAATTAGTCTTTTTTTTAGAAACAAATTAATTAGTCTCTCATGTTTCAAAACTAATTATTTAGTTTATTTATTTATTTTATGCTATTTTCTAATTCTTTTAATTTTATATTTTGACATATAGAAAAATACAAAAATAAGTAGATATCATATAAAGACTAATGAGAAGAAAATATATTTTTGAAATAAATTAATATTAGTTAAGCGTGATGATAAAAAAAAATGATTAATTAATTTGTTTCTCTAAACTAGGGACTAATTTATAATTTACTCAAATTATGTACACAGTTCGGAGAAAAGAACATATAGGAAAGACAGAGAGATTGACAGGTGGGAAGGCAACAGAGATACCATTTGCATATGACTGGCGCGGCTAAAAGCACCTTTCTTGCACGGGTTGCCTAAGCTTAAAAAATTAGAGAAAACGCTTATTTAAGCGCGTGGACCCAGTTCCTTTGAATTGAAAACGATGGATGACAAGAATCATCGATCGTTTGGGGAATTCGTACTCCTTGAACTCTCGGTGCTCGCATTCTTATAAGTCTCTCTCAAATCTCAGTCGAAACAACTAAGCAACTCTCATCGTTTTGTGCAATCAAAAACATCTTAATAAAACGCCAAACAGGTGAAAACAAAAACAAATTGATATATTTTATTATAAAAATATGAATTAATTTTTAAAAATAAATAAATAAATAAATCTTTTTTCTTTAAAAATTAATTATTGAATTAATTGTTCAGTGTTAACCGTACTTAATATAATATTATTTTATTATATAAATATCTTTTTTCATCCTTTTTCTAACATTTATTATATTTTTCCTTTATATATATATATATATTAAAACAAACAAAATAAATTAGAAAAAAATTAATTAATTTGTTTATCAAAACCGAAGAGATTAGTAATATTTTACTCGATTTAAACACATATTCTCATGGTTTTTTAAATTAAAAAAAAAAAAAAGCCTCAATCCGTCCGGCTAGAGTTCGATTTTGAAGGTGGGGTATGAATTGCACAATGGCACGTAGCGTCTGACCTTTAATGTTGGACAAGATGTTCTTGGACCCCGAAAGGTTTTGTAGTTTTTCCTGGATTTTTATGAAATCCGTTCATTATCCAAAAAGAAAAAAAAAATACGAATGCAGTCACATCCCGATGAAGCATGAAGAAAATACATAATATACGGTTACCACGTATACAAACATAGTATTTAGTTTAAAAAAATGAAACAAAACAAAACACTAAAGGCAAACGTGTTGAAATTTTTTGTCTTATTTTATTTTATTTTATTTTATTTCTGGTATTGTGACCGAATTGATTTCATACCCAAAATGTAATTTTTCTTCTTACAACGAATGAGATAACATTATTCACACACACAAGTAAATAATAAATAGCAAAAACTGAAATCATCACAAGCCACTTTCTCATAACATCACGGGATAATTGTATTATAAATTTAATAATTTCAAACGTTTTTCTCAATTGAATCCATAAACTTTAATTTTTTTCCATCATTTTTTGTCAAATATTTAATTATTTGACGATGTGTTATTTTTTTAAAACTATTACATTATCATTTAATCTTTTTATTTTTTTAAAGAAAACTTTCTTCCTAAATTATTTTACTATTTTCTACTTTTTAGATATAAAGATAATATAAATATTTACTATATAAAAGGTAGAACATGCCAATAATGATATATAAAAAAATATTATCATATAACAAAACAATTATATATATTTGATTGACAATTTTTTTTAAAATGATATATTCAAATAATTTTTTTACAAATATTCATATACTAAAAAAATAATGTACTTATAATATAATTATCAAGAACATGATATATGCAAATTTCCAATCAAGAATAAATATTCTTAGAGGACACAGGTTTTATATGAAACTAATTACTAATGGATGAAGCGTCAGTCATCTGACATATTAGCCTAGAAAATGCATTCAAACATCATTCATATCCAAATAAAACCCTCAAAGACTGTAATCTGTGGAATAGCCTGAGAGCCTATGAAACCCGTGAAGATCCTCATCTAGGCGACAAAACATGCAAAATCGCCCACCATTATTTTCCCTCCTTGCATGCATGTAATCTCTATCGGATCCTCAACCTTTCTTTAAATTAATTAAATTATCATCACCTTTTTAGGGATATTCATTAACTAATCTTTTTTTCTTTTTTTTGATAAAATTCATCTACTAATCTGAATTGCAAATAAATCTAATTTTATGTTCATTCACCAAAAATTTAATTGCAATTGACCAAATGATGACCTAATAGTTGAAAGAATTCAAACACTAATTCGAACAAGGTAGTAAATTTTTGAGAGAAAATTGTTTTAACCAGACTAGTTATTTGAAGTTTAACTTCTGATGATGGACACCGCGGACTGCACTCCCTCTTCTGACAGGGAAAAAAGAAACGAAAAAGAAAACTACTAATAACAATAATATCATCCAAAAATGATGGTTGGATCCCGGACTACTGGATCATGGTATAAAATTTTTACTATCAATTCAGATTATTTAGATTTTAAATTATTATTTTTTAGATAATTATTATCTATTTTTTGTTATTTTAACAATCAATGCGTTGATCGTTAACTTAAATACTTAATAACAAAAATCACTTTAAGATTTTTTTTTGTCCAAAAATTTATTTTCAACATAATTATTTTCAAAATAATAATAATAATTAATACGGATGATATGTCATCCCGATGCGATAGAACTTATCATTATGAGATATTATTAAATTAACTAAATTAATTAAACTGAATAAATAAAGAAAAAGAGTTTCCTGCCACGAATAAAGAAAAAGAAGACATGAATCGGGCTGAGATGTTGATATAGAAAAACATAAGTTCTAAAAGTAATTCCACCAATACTTTAATAGTAGCGCAGCTTCTAGCTTTATTTAGTTCAATTGATTTAGTTGAATTAATAGTGTCTCAAGACGACGTGCCGTTAGATATAAAGACGTATCTTTTGTCTAAACTATTATTGTATTTTTTTAAAGATTAATTTTATTTTACAAAAAAATAAATATATTTAAATAATGTTGTTTAAATATTGAAAGCTAACAAAAAAACACTTTAGGATCTAATAGCGTAAATTGACAGTGAAGGCTTTGAATTTCTATAACATCAATAGTTTAGAGGTAATTTTTATCATTAAATAAAAAAAGAAATTATAACATTTAAACGATGACATTTAAATACTCCAATTGATGGTCAATGTTTTGATCGTAAAAAATAGAAATTATGAATAATATTTTTCTAAAAAAAATAGTTTGAAGTCTAAATAACTTAAATTGATAATAAAAATCTTAAATTGTCATAATTTAATAGTTTTGAGGTAATTTTTGTTCTTAAACAGTCCAAAAATCTTTTTTTTCAAAAAAAAAAAAAAAAAAAAAAAAAACAGTCCAAGAACGTGCCAACTGAACCAAATCCACAAGCAGAAAAATCTAGTTAACTTACCATCTATTACAATACTGTAAGTCTACGTCTGCATGCCGTTGAATTCAATTTCGAAAATAAGAGAATATTGAGGTTTGTTAACTCAATTTTCAACAATTAAATACTAGAAATTTACTTCTTCTTTTTTTATTAATAATTGATTACTTATGTCTCCTAATAATAATGTTAGAAAACATCATGTTAAAAGGGCACTTTTTAATATAAATTATAAAAGCATTAATTGATATGGCATATCATAATTTTTTTACTCACATTTTTATAAAATATCCCATTAATTGAAATTGTAGATGGCTTATAAAATGAGATTTATGTATATTTTTTTTGTTATAAAATATAAACTCAAATTCAAAATATTTTGATGAGAAAGAAGATAGTGATGCTAGTTAAATACAGCTCATTGGCAAATTAGCTTTACATTTTGACATTTACTATTTTAGAACAAACTAAAATAGAAAACCTCACATTTGCTATTTTAGAACAGATAAAAAAAAAACCAGAAATTTATTATTTGAAAGAAACAAAAATAGAAAGCCAGACAATGATTTGGATTCTACTCTATGAATCTTTACATTGGGTTTGGTACGCGGTGAAAAAAAAAAAAAAATCAACGAGAAATGTCATGGAAGTCAGATTTAAGGGTAAGATGTTAAGGTCTAAACAGTCAAAGAGTCAAGTGTTAAAGATATTTGATAGAATCCGCAAGAATTATGGATAACATGAATCCCGATAAGAGTAAAATAATATTTTAAATTAAATATAATTGCAAAAAAAAATTAAATAATATATATTTTTGGTGTAAAATGAAAGTGGGTTTTTTTAAAAAAGAGAGAGAATAAAATAAGATTAAATTAAAAAAAAAAAAAGGGAATGACAGAAAACCAAAAAATTCTCTCAAAATTCCTTTACCCCTCCCCTCACAAGGTTAACATATCATTAAATGTTAATTAACTTTTGAGATTAAACGTCAACTGCCATAATATTTTATCCCTTTTAATTTTTTTCCATAGATTAAAAGTTACCTCTATACCAAACATATCTTATACAGTCAGTGCATGTTTCTACAATTGAATATTCTTGAAACTTGTTTTTTTTCTTCCTTCGAATTCATTGTTTATTCATCTATACAGGTTAGATCCTAAAGCCTATACAGATATACACACAACCCTTCATCTCCCAAATTGGACAACAAACTCATCACTTTCAGCGACCAGATTACCAGAATATTATCTCACGTAAGGTAACAACTCAGTTCTTCAAGCAGACAACTTTATAATTTATAATATAAAAACACCCACGCCCCTACCAAATCATAATAACTCATCGTCATCAAAAAGAAAAAAGAAAAAAGGAAAAAACAGATCCCATCTATCAATGCCTCATTACACTTCGCCACTTTTCATTCTCTTCTTGCAAGTGTTCTTTGCCGTCCAACCATGTCATCGGGTAGTGACCTACGCTGCTGATGGTGGCTGGTGGGAACTCTTGCAGAACAACATTGGCATAGCAGCTATGCATATGCAACTACTCAACAATGACCGTGTTGTAATCTTTGATCGAACTGACTTTGGCTTGTCTAATATCTCATTACCGGATGGAAAATGTAGGAACGATTCAAGAGATTTAGCTGTTAAATATGACTGCACTGCTCATTCTATTGAGTATGATGTTTTGGCTAATAAAATCAGGCCACTTATGGTCCAAACTGATGTTTGGTGTTCTTCTGGTGCTGTCTTTCCTGATGGGAGTCTGATTCAAACAGGTGGTTCCAATGATGGTGAACGTATGGTCAGGACCTTTTTTCCATGCAATAACTCTAAATGTGATTGGGTAGAAATTGGCGATGCTCTTGGGGCAAAAAGATGGTATTCCACTAATCATATACTGCCAGATGGTAGGCAAATCATTATTGGTGGTACAACGCAATTCAATTATGAATTTTATCCAAAAACTTCTGCCCCAAATGTCTACAGTTTGCGATTTCTAGCGGAAACTAATGATCGTGGCATTGAAAACAATTTATATCCATTTGTTTTTCTCAATTATGATGGCAATTTATTTATTTTCGCCAATAATCGAGCCATATTATTCAATTACAAGAAGGATAAGGTGTTGAAGACTTATCCAGCAATACCTGGAGGTGATCCAAGAAGCTATCCAAGTACTGGTTCTGCAGTATTGCTTCCATTGAAGAATTTATGGGCTGCAACTATTGAGGCTGAAGTTTTAGTATGTGGAGGTGCTCCAAAAGGATCTTTTTATAAGGTGTGGAAACGTAATTTTGTGAAAGCTTTGGATACTTGTGCCCGGATCAAGATAAACGACCGAAATCCACAATGGACAATGGAAACGATGCCTACAGCAAGAGTCATGGGCGATATGACATTGCTTCCAAACGGCAATGTTTTGATCATTAATGGAGCTGGAGCTGGTACCGCCGGGTGGGAATATGGGCGAAATCCAGTCTTGAACCCGGTCCTCTATTGGCCCGATGGTGCTGCAGGTTCAAGGTTTCAGTCGCTAAATCCAAGTACCATACCAAGAATGTACCATTCCGCAGCAATTTTGCTTCGTGATGGCAAGGTTCTTGTTGGTGGTAGCAATCCCCATGAGGGATATAATTTCACTGGAGTTTTATTTCCAACTGAATTGAGATTAGAAGCATTCTCGCCACCATATTTGGGTAAAGAATTTAATTATTTAAGACCAACAATCGTCTCATCCACTGCTTCTCAAGGTAAATACATTGGTTACAAACAACAATTGTTTGTAAGTTCATGGTCACAGGCAAACTAATAGCTGATAGCGTCTCGGTGACAATGGTTGCGCCATCATTCACTACACATTCATTTGCTATGAATCATAGGCTACTGGTACTTGGGAACGAGAAAGTGACTTATGTAGGCACATCAACTTATGACGTTCAAGTTACCACGCCTGGTTACGCTGAGCTTGCACCCTCGAGTTATTACATGTTATACGTGGTTCATCAATATATTCCTAGTCTAGGCATTTGGGTTAAAATTTCGTAATTGTTTATCTAAGGGCATAGATTCATTCATGAGTTGGTTTGGCGTAATTGTGTCAATATAAAAGTTGGCTTAGCATTTTTCTTTAATTTGTTCACAATTATTACAAAAATCGTAATTGCTTCTACACATGAACAACTAATTTGATGCAAGTATTTTACTGTTTTGGAACCTATCCCTTTTTTTATCTTGTGATTAACTATTTTTTAATTAATGGATTAGAGAAATTTTAAAATATTATAAGAGCAACTATTGTATATTTACAATAAGTATTTTATATATCCATTCTTTTAAAAAGAGATAAATATATAACAAAAAATAGCAATTAGTGGAAAAGGAATTTCGACACTGGGTGTTAGAGACTAGTATAAATTATATTATAGGACATCACCTATAAGTTTAAGCTTTTAGGTGATATGGTCACTTAATATGATATCGAGCTTGATTGACCTTGAGGTCCCGAGTTCAAGTCTCACAATCTCCAATTTCTCAAGTATTAAAAGCACAAGATAATGTGGATATGTGTAAATTTCATGCCCCAAATGTTGAACCTTTTAGGTGATATGATCCCTTAATACCGAGAAGGCATAGAGCCTTTGAATTACAAGGAAGGTGGCATGGAAGGTATGTACATAGAAATTATGGCGAAGTATGAACACAAGTAATTAATATGAGACACAGATGCCATGCATATGCTTTAAATTGCAAGACCCAAAAAGGAAAAGATATATGCATTATTATTTAGTGTGACGATATGGAGTATAAGTGATTTTATTTATTTACGAAGGAGAATTTGGAATATGAGATGTTAATATCTTATTGACAGAACAGAACGAGATACATGAGTTACTGGCTAAATTTGAAGTTCAATGGACGCAAGCTAAATGACCAACCAAAAGGAATGAGATATATATCACTAACCAAATCATTTCCTTTAACTATATTTAATTTAATATTATTTTATTCTAAAAAAATCTTATTTTCTCATCATTTATATATTTTATTCATTTTTTCTTTTATATATATATATTTTGAAAACAAAACAAATTAGAAAAGAATATAAATTAAACAAAATAATTAAATAATTATTTTTTAAACCCCCAAAAAATAATTAATTTGTTTTTTTTAGAACTAAAGAGAACAATTTATACCTTACTCGAATTTGTTTTATGATAAACGTGTTGAATTGGCATTATGATAGAATTGATTTCATACTCAAAATGTAATTTTTATTCTTACAATTGAGAATAAAATTTTTTATGATTTTTTACTTGAGTCTGGAGCCCTTTGTTGAGATGAAAAAAACCCTAAAATTTGTAAAATAATTTATATTCTCAAACAAATTTAACAAAATTTATATTCCATACCAACTATTTTTTAAATTCATAAAGAATAATTTGGATAACAAATATTTTTATCTCTATTTAGTTATTTGTTTGTTTTGTTTTTAGAGAAAATATCTAATATATCTTCATTTGTTTTTCTAATTTTTTTAAATTCATTTTTTTAAAATTGAAAAAAAATATAGAATGACAAAATTAAGATGAAAAAAAAGTAAAGGGTCAAGATTAAAATGGAAAAAAAGATAAGTTAACATGTATTGCAATCTTGCAAGACTAATGATGCAATTTAAAGTTAGCTAAAAAAATTAACATAAAGGCGAACTTTTAATAAAATAAATAAATAAATAAACGAATTTTAGAAAAAAGAAAGAAGAAAAAATAATAATAATAAATAAATAAACCCCTCCGATCATTAAGCCCTTTTCCACCTTGCATGCATGTAGTCTCCATCCGGATCCTCAATATTTCTTTCAATCAATTAAAGTATAATCAATTTTTTAGTGATATCTTTTAACTAATCTTAAATGCAAATAAATCTAACCTAATAGTTATAGAAGAATTCAAACGCTAATTCCAACAAGGTAGTAAAATTTTCAGAGAAAATGGTTTCCATCCAGACTAGTTATGGGAACCCGTTCGCTTTTCCAGGCTTCTGATCATAAACACCGTGGCTGCATTCACTTTCTGATAGGAAAAAAATAAAATAAAATTAAGACTATTAATTAATAGCAATAATGACAACAGTCTAAGAACCCATCCAAAAGAAAATAAAAAATAAAAATAAAAACAAGTCCAATAACGTACAACTGAACCATACCCACAAGAAGAAAAATCTAGCGGCTCACAATGTATTATAGTACTGTAAATCTATTTTTGTATGTAATCGCAACAACTACGAGAATAAGAGTATTGATTGCTATAACTTAATTTTTAACAATTAAATACTAGAAATTTAACCCTTTTTATTATAATTGCTTGCTTATGTCTCGAAATAAAAAATAATGTGAAGCGTTAAGAATACTTGATAGAATCCCAAAAAAAAATTACGGATAATAATGAGTCCAATAAAAATAAAATCAAATTTTAAATTAAATATAATTGTAAATAAACAAATAATATATATATTTGTGGTTTGAAAAGAAAGTGGACTTTAAAAAAGAATAAAAAAATTTCAATTCACAAAATAAAATAAATAGAATGACACAAAACCCAAAAATTTTCTCTCATTATATGTTAACCTCCACAAAAAAATTTCCCTCCATTAATTTTATACCAAACATACGCTGAGAGGATGGAAAATTACAATGGTAATTTTTCATTCTCTTATGCCCATGTCTTTAAAACATTAGTTGTATGTCTTTAAAAATGAACATTCTAGAAACTATTTATTCCCTTGGAATTTACTGTTTACACTTCGATCCAGGTTAGATCCTAAAGCCTACACAGATACTCTGCCCTTCATCTTCCAAGTTGGACAACAAACTCATCGCTTTCAGTGACAAGATTACCAAAATATTATCTCACGCGATGCAAAAACTTGTGGTTACAACTCAGTTCTCATAACAGACGACTTTATAAAATATAGTATAAAGGCACCAACACTCCGACCAAGTAATAACTCATCATCATAAAAAAGAAAAAAGAAAAAACATCCCATCTATCAAATGCCTCATTATACTTCGATTCTTTTCTTTCTCTTCTTGCAACTGTTCTTTGCAGTCCAACCATGTCACCGGCTAGTGGCCTACGCTGCTGGTGCTGGCAGGTGGCAACTCTTGCAAAACAACATTGGCATAGCAGCTTTGCATATGCAATTACTCCACAATGACCATGTAGTAATCTATGATCGAACTGACTTTGGCTTGTCTAATATCTCATTACCAGATGGGAAATGTCGGAAAGATTCAAGCGAATTAGTTGTCAAACATGACTGCACTGCTCATTCCGTTGAGTATGATGTTTTGGCTAATAAAATCAGGCCACTTATGGTCCAAACTGATGTTTGGTGTTCTTCTGGTGCTGTATTCCCTGATGGGAGACTGATTCAGACCGGTGGCTTCAATGATGGTGGAGATAAGGTCAGGACTTTCTTACCATGCAATGATGCTAAATGTGACTGGGTAGAAACTGGTGATTCTCTCGGGGCAAGAAGATGGTATGCCACTAATCATATACTGCCAGATGGTAGGCAAATCATTATTGGTGGCAGAAGGCAATTCAATTATGAATTTTATCCAAAAACTTCTGCCCCAAATGTTTACAGTTTGCGCTTTCTAGTGGAAACTAATGATCGTGGCATTGAAAACAACTTATATCCATTTGTTTTTCTCAATTATGATAGCAATTTATTTATTTTTGCCAATAATCGAGCCGTATTGTTCAGTTACAAGGCGAATAAGGTGTTGAAGACTTATCCAGCAATACCTGGAGGTGATCCAAGAAGCTATCCAAGTACAGGTTCTGCAGTGTTGCTTCCATTGAAGAATTTACGGGCTGCAACTATTGAGGCTGAAGTTTTGGTATGTGGAGGTGCACCAAAAGGATCCTTTTATCAGGCGGACACAAAACGTAATTTTGTTAAAGCTTTGGATACTTGTGCCCGGATCAAGATAAACGACCCAAATCCAAAATGGGTAATGGAAACTATGCCTGCAGCTAGAGTAATGGGCGATATGACGTTGCTTCCAAACGGTAATGTTTTGATCATTAATGGAGCTGGAGCTGGTACTGCCGGGTGGGAAAATGGGCAAAATCCAGTCTTGAACCCGGTCCTCTATTTGCCCGATGGTGCAGAAGGTTCAAGGTTCCAGAGGCTAAATCCAAGTACAATACCAAGAATGTACCATTCCACAGCAATTTTGCTTCGTGATGGCAGGGTCCTTGTTGGTGGTAGCGATCCCCATGAGAGATATACTTTCACTGGAGTTTTATTTCCAACTGAATTGAGATTAGAAGCATTCTCTCCACCATATTTGGGTAAAGAATTTAATTATTTGAGACCAAAAATCGTCTCATCAACTGCTTCTCAAAGTAAATATATTGGTTACAAACATCAGCTGTTTGTAAGGTTCAAGGTGACGGGCAAACTAATAGCAGATAGCGTCTCGGTGACAATGGTTGCGCCATCCTTCACTACACATTCCTTTGCTATGAGTCATAGGCTGCTGGTACTTGGAAACGAAAAAGTGACTTATGTGGGCAGATCAACTTATGACATTCAAGTTACGACGCCCGGTTACCCTGCGCTTGCAACCTCAGGCTATTACATGTTATACGTCGTTCATCAATCTATTCCTAGTGCAGGCGTTTGGGTTAAAATTGCATAATTGTGTATCTATTGGTATAGATTCATTATTAATGAGTTTGGTTGGGCAAAGTTGTGTCAATGCATAAGTTGGTTTATCATTTTTCTTTAATTTGTACATAATTACGACAAGAATCGTAATTGCTTCTGTACAAATACAAAAATAAATAAATCTATGTCTTTATAATATTTAAAGTTTTTATTGTTTTCAATTGCATTCTATTTGTTCCTAAATTTGTTTGAAATATTCATTTTATCTTTGCATTTTATATATCTATTCTTTTTTTTTTTTTTGAATATTCAATCTTATATTTTTGTTAAAATTTGTTAACGAGCAAAAAAAAAAAAACTTACAAGTTACATAACCTGTATATTTTATTTGTAAAAATCTTTTAATTTTAGTTTTTTTAATTTTTTTTGTTTTTTAATCAGGAATATTTTAGTTAAAATAAATTATTCGGCCGAAAAAATTTATCAAAAAAACATATTAAAGATTTAAAATATTTTTAAAAATAAATAAAATATAATTAAAAATCTAAAAATATATGAAAAACTATATGATCAGATGGATATACTTACTTCAAATATAATTAATTTGATGCAATTATTTTACTTTTTCGACACCTATTCCTTTTACTATCCTGTGATTTACTGTTTTTTTAATTAATGGATTACACATCAAATTATCGTTTGTGGAAAGATAGAAGCGTGGAAGAAAAATATCCTGGTAACAAGTACCGACCATGGCAGTTAGTGGAAAAGGAATTTTTGACATGGGAACGCATAGAGCCTTTAAATTACGAGGAAAGTGAAGCAATGCAGCAGCGTGCAAAGTAGGTGTATAGAAATTAACACAGACACAAGTAATATGAGACGCAGGGGACTATTGGTATGATTGTGATAAATTTTAATTCTTCTCAATAAATATAATTTAAAATTTTATATATTCTTAAAAAATTTATCTGAAGATCGATTTATTTATTATTGAATTGATAACTTATTAGTGATGTTAGTGTATTATCGACGAAACAGAACGAGTTTACTAGAGTGACATGCTAAATTTGAAGTTCAATGACGACAATCTGAATGACAAACCGAATGGAATGAGCCAAATATTTCTTTCAAGATAATACAGACATCTTATAGGAAAATTGGCAATTAACTCGTCGTAGAAGAATATTATGTTATTAGTACATCACGAGTAGCATACAAAACAATATAAAAGGCTAATATGGTCAGGGGCAAGAAATGGGCAAATTTCCACGGTATCCTTTTCCATTTTTTCTTTTTCTCACATAAAAATGTTCGATTCCTTTTGTTTCTTGATGCATTGTCCGACATATATCACTTTCTCTGAATCACATGCCTGTTGTTTTCATCTTGTTTTAATATTTAAGTCCTGATAATTTATTCTCAAATTCCTGATTCCAATGATAAGGAAGGGGATAAGCTGTCTTTATTAACCACGTTGATGTTTCAAGTTGATGGTATTTGCACTGGTAGGACAGGATTGGGCAGACTTTGATACAGATCAGATTTGTTGTTAAGGAATCATGAAAAGGAAGAGACAAATCAACCATGTTCTAATCAGTTAGCCGTGATGCAACGTTTCATATGATTAAAAACTAAAAAATGAAAAATGCTTTTCCAATTTATAGTTAAGATGCTGCAAGAAAATATGATGTTTTACCATTCCATATGTTATTTGTTTTGGTCCTTTCTTGTCAAAATCAACTCATTTTTTCCTTTCTTTGTTTCTGTTGCAAATGAAATTTTGCCTCGAAAAAGGAAAAGCGTCAGGCTACTGACACGGTTTCTTCATTTGGTAATTTGGTACACTACTCTCTGTGTTAGAATTTCCTTGTGAAAGCAAGGGGAATCAACTAAAGAACAAGAATCAAGTTGTCAAACTCTTAAATCTGTCCCCAACTTAACTCCAAGGCCACTTGCGACCTAAAGTTAATGTGCAGCTGCCCAATAACGCCAAAGAGCAACCCACAACAAGATTTTGTGAAAAACATTTTTGGAACTGTGTGGTCCTGCTGCAGAAGAGAACAGAAATCATCAAAGAATTCTTACTGATTTGTGTTAATTATTGTCACCTGTCAGCAGTGAAAAATTCCATGTGGCTTAAAGAATCAAAAATACCAAAGAACAACGACAGTTGGTGGAATTAAAGTGGATCCTCGCACGAGCAATGCAAAGCAAGCTTATTCTGGGATCCGTTCCAGTGGAAGGCTATATATGCCGCCATTCACGTGACTCAAGGATTTTTTTGTCTGAACACTATTTGGTAAATGATAGGATGGGGTTATTGTTATGTGTGCAAAAAGAGAGTTCAAAACCATTGAAGATAAGAATGCTGAAGGATGCCTGTTAAGAGTGTCACGAGACTTCATTCAGGACCTAATTCCAAAAGTTCACGGGTGAGTCTGCTTATAAAGGGATTGCAGAGTCCATCTTCAATATGAAATTGGTGACATGATGATAGAGGCATAGCAATGGAGCATTGGTGCACAGGATTATGAAATTGCAAAAGATGAAGGCAAGCTTGAATCGGTCTCTTAGGTTCCGTAATCTAAATACTTCCATAAATGGGTAAAGGCCATCTGTTTTAAATCTGACTTTTGCGCGGATGCTTGCACCAGTTTAAGCTTATTCCATTTCAAGCTTGGAATGATTCTAAATGGTACCTAGTATAATTCAAGCCCAATCTGACCCAGATGATGGTTGATACTTGTTACACGATCCTACGAAGGTGGTGATGATTTGTCACGCCAAGCTCCATGAGCTGATTGAATGATCTGGAAAAGAGCTGGAATTTCTGGAAAATAAGTTCTTTTACAGTTTTAACATGATGACAGAACATGAAGTCCAGTTAGGACTAGAGAGGCTGAGTAACCTCTAGCCATTCCTGGCAGATCACAAAGCTAATATAGGAACACTAGTTGGCTGCAATATTACAGACTAATACAAGGGTCCATTGGAAATGATATCTTCAAAATTGGGGTCTTGAGAATTACACAGTTGAACATCAAGGACTAACTGCACAAGTCCTCAACTAAATAGAAGCAAGGCAAATATAGAAATAAGAATTGAGAACGAAATCACAATTGTTTGATATCAAAACTCTTCAAGGAAAAGACTGAATTGAAACTATAAAACCTACACTGATTGTATCGAATCAAAACAGATGCTTTGAAATTTCAAGCGAAACAAAATCAAGAAAACCAAAGGGAGGAAAGATTAGAGATAGCTTCTTACCTTTCTAAATCGTAAGAAGAAAAAGAAAAGAGAGAGAGAGAGGATGAGAAGATTTGTTGTTTGACTTGTGGATCCATGGACAGCAAACTCGTCACTTTCAGTGACCAGATTACCAGAATATTATCTCACGCGATGCAAAAGCGTGTGGTAACAACTCCTTGCAGACAACCTTATAATTTATACTATAAAAACACCCACAGCCCGACCAAATTATAAGAACTCATCATCGTAAAAAACAACCGAGAAAAAAGAAAAAGAAAAATACATACACCATCCTATCAATGCCTCATTGTTCTTCCATTCTTTTCTGTCTCTTCTTGCAACTGTTCTTTGCTGTCCAACCATGTCACCGGGTAGTGACCTACGCTGCTGATGGTGGCGGGTGGCAACTCTTGCAAAACAACATTGGCATAGCAGCTATGCATATGCAACTACTCCACAATGACCGTGTAGTAATCTATGATCGGACTGACTTTGGCTTGTCTAATATTTCACTACCAGATGGAAAATGTCGGAATGATTCAAGAGATTTAGTTGTCAAAAATGACTGCACCGCTCATTCTGTTGAGTATGACGTTTTGGCTAATAAAATCAGGCCACTTATGGTCCAAACTGATGTTTGGTGTTCTTCGGGTGCTGTATTCCCTGATGGGAGACTGATTCAGACCGGTGGTTTCAATGATGGTGAAGATAAGGTCAGGACTTTCTTACCATGCAATAATGCTAAATGTGACTGGGTAGAAACTGGTGATGCTCTCGGGGCAAGAAGATGGTATGCCACTAATCATATACTGACAGATGGTAGGCAAATCATTATTGGTGGCAGAAGGCAATTCAATTATGAATTTTATCCAAAAACTTCTGCCCCAAATGTTTACAGTTTGCGCTTTCTAGCGGAAACTAATGATCGTGGTATTGAAAACAACTTATACCCATTTGTTTTTCTCAATTATGATGGCAATTTATTTATTTTTGCCAATAATCGAGCCGTATTGTTCAGTTACAAGGCGGATAAGGTGTTGAAGACTTATCCAGCAATACCTGGAGGTGATCCAAGAAGCTATCCAAGTACAGGTTCTGCAGTGTTGCTTCCATTGAAGAATTTACGGGCTGCAACTATTGAGGCTGAAGTTTTGGTATGTGGAGGTGCACCAAAAGGATCTTTTAATCAGGCGGACACAAAACGTAATTTTGTTAAAGCTTTGGATACTTGTGCCCGGATAAAGATAAACGACCCAAATCCAATATGGGTAATGGAAACCATGCCTGCAGCTAGAGTCATGGGCGATATGCAATTGCTTCCCAACGGTAATGTTTTGATCATTAATGGAGCTGGAGCTGGTACTGCCGGGTGGGAAAATGGGCAAAATCCAGTCTTGAACCCGGTCCTCTATTTGCCCGATGATGCAGAAGGTTCAAGGTTCCAGAGGCTAAATCCAAGTACAATACCAAGAATGTACCATTCCACAGCCATTTTGCTTCGTGATGGCAGGGTTCTTGTTGGTGGTAGCAATCCCCATATTGGATATAACTTCACTGGAGTATTATTTCCAACTGAATTGAGATTAGAAGCATTCTCTCCACCATATTTGGGTAAAGAATTTAATGATTTGAGACCAACAATCGTCTCATCAACTGCTGCCCAAGGTAAAAATATTGGTTACAAACAACAATTGTCTGTAAGGTTCAAAGTGACGGGCAAACTAATAGCAGATAGCGTTTCGGTGACAATGGTTGCGCCATCATTCACTACACATTCCTTTTCCATGAGTCACAGGCTGCTGGTACTTGGGAACGAAAAAGTGACTTACGTGGGCACATCAACTTATGACATTCAAGTTACGACTCCAGGTTACCCTGAGCTTGCACCCTCAGGTTATTACATGTTATACGTGGTTCATCAATATATTCCCAGTGTCGGTGTTTGGGTCAAAATTGCATAATTGTATCTAAAGGTATAGATTCACTAATGACCTGGTTTGGCAAAGTTGTGTCAATAAATAAGTTTGGCAAAGTTGTGTCAATAAATAAGTTGTTGTAGCATTTTTCTTTGATTTGTACACAATTACGACAAGAATCGTAATTGCTTCTATCTATATACAATTAGTTTGATGCAACTGTTTTACTATTTTGACACCTATTCCTTTCTCTATCTTGTGATTATCTTTTTTTTAATTAATGGATTACACATCAAATTATCTTTTCCGGAAAGATAGAGGCGTGAAAGAAAAATATTCTTGTAACAAGTGCCAATCATGGTACAGTTGGTGGAAAAGGAATTTCAGACCTGGAAGGCATAGAGCCTTTGAATTACAAGGAAGGTGAAGCAATGCAGCAGAGTGCAAGGTAGATACATAGAAAATAAGGAGGTATGAACATAACTAATATGAGACACTGGTTCTATGCTTATGCTTTAAATTGCTGGACAAGAAAACGGAAAGATACAGATATTACTTAGCATATAGATATTGAGTATAGGAGAGGTTTTTTTTTTTTTTTCCCTTAAAAAGGAGAATTTGGAATATATGAGATGTTAATGTTTTATTGCGCCTTCTCTGAATCGCATATCTGTTGTTTCCATCTTGTTTTAATATTTTGAAGTCGACAATGTATTCTCAAATTTCTGATTCCAGTGATGAGGGAGTAGATAAGTTGTCTCTATTAAGTATTAACCACAGATGTCGTTTCAAGTTGGAAATTTCATAGCGTTGGCGATATTTGCACAGGCAGGACAGGATTAGACAGAGTTTGTTCACACAGATCAGATTTATTGTTAAGGAATTATGAAAAGGAAGAGACATATCAACCGTTTTCTAATTAGTTAGCCTTGATGCAACATTTCATATAAGAAAAATTAAAGAATGAAAAATGGTTTTCCAATTTGTAGTTAACATGCTGCAAGAAAATATGATGTTTACTATGTTTTTCTTAGATAAATTCAACTGGTATCTTCCTTTCCAGCTAACAAAACTGACTTAAGAATGTATTGCAAATGAAGTTTTGGCTCTGAAAAGGAAAAGCGTCAGACTATGGACACGGTTTCTTCATTTTGGTAATTTGGTATATACTCTGTGTTGGAATTTCATTGTGAAAGCAAGGCGAATCAACCAAGGAACAAGAATCAAGTTAGACTTTAAAATCTGTACCCAAATAAACTCCAAGGCCACTTGCGACCTGAATGTTAATGTGCAACTGCCCCATAATGCCAAGAGCAACCCACCACGAGCTTTTGCGAAGAACATTTTTGGAATTGTGTGGTCCTGCTGCAGAAGAGAACATAAATCATCGAAGAATTCTTGCTCATTTGTGTTAATTATAGTCACCTGTCACCAGTGAAAAATTCAAAGCGGCTTAAAGAATCAAATACGAAAGAACATTGACAGTTGGTGTAATTAAAGTGAATCTTCGCACGAGCCATGCAAAGCAAACTTATACTGGGATAGGTTCCAGTGGAAGGCTATATATATGCCATTCACGTGACTCGAAGGATTTTTTATCTGAAGACTATCTAGTCAATGACAGGATGGGGGTTATTTTTATGTGTCCAAAAGAGAGTTCATAACCCGTTGAAGATAATGGTGGCTGTTAGTGTGTCACGGATTTCCTTCAAGACCTGATTCCAAAAGTTCACGGGTGAGTCTGCTTATAAAGGGATTGCAGAGTATATCTTCAATATTTAAATTGTTGCTTCAACAGATTAGCGAAAACACAGCAGTTTTCATCCATTCGCTGCTTGGTTACTGGGCAAATAGAAAGATCGTACTTTGAAAATCCAAACATCTAAGGAAAGAATGTCTGCTCATACTGGCCATAGGCCAACCCCGCTGGAACTCCATCTAAACTTCACTTGGGCCTACCATCAAGCCTCGTTGCCAAATGGACCTGTCAATAGCCCAGTCACCAGGCCTTGCCTGATTAGGCTGTTAATTTTTTTGGACCTTCGGCACAACAAACGTCAACGAGGATTAAATTAGTATCAACATAATAATAGAGGCAAAGCAGAGAAGCATTGGTGCAGTGTTGTAGGAAATTGCAAAATTATAGGCAAACTTGAACTGTGTTTTTATGTCACGTAAACTACATACCTCCATAAACTGGTAAGCCTTCTGTATTAAATGTAACTTCAGCGCAGATGCTTGCAGTAGTTTAAGTTTATTCTACAGGCTTGGCAATTGCCCGAGTTAGGACAAGTTGCCTCTACAAAAAGCCAATATCCCCATTTCAGGCTCGGAATGATGCTAAATGGCCCCTAGTTTAGCTAGAATTATTCCAGCCCAATCTAAACACAGATGATCATCAGGTACACGATCCGACGAAGGTGGTGGCATGATTTGTCGCACCAAGCTCCATGAGTGAATGATTTGGAAACGAGAAGGAATTTCTGGAGAATTGAGTTCGGTTCACAGTTTTAACAGGATGGCAGAACAAGGATTTCTGTTAGGACTAGAGAGGATGAGTAAACTCTAGCCATTCCTGGCACATCACAAAGCTAATATAGGAACACCAGTTGGCTGCAATATTACAGACTAATACACGGGTCTATTGGAAACGATATCTTCAAAATTGGAGTCTTGAGCATTACTTAATTAAACATTAAGGAGGACTAACTGCTCGAGTCCTCAACTAAATAGAAGCAAATTGAACAATCAAACAAAAAGGAGAAGGCATTTCTAATCAAGAAGTTAAGAGATCAACACCACAAAGCAGCAAGGCAAATAAAGAAATAAGAATTGAGAAAGAAATCACATAAAAATCCACCAACAATGCTTCAATTAAGTTTTTCACAATTGTTTCATATCAAAACGCTTCGAGGCAAACACTGAAATGAAACTATGAGACCTACACTAATTGTGTCAAATCCAATGAACTAATGCATACTATCCAACAACAGCTTAAGCACGTTCACCACGTATGCGCCTAGCAAGCTGAATATCCTTTGGCATGATCGTGACTCTCTTAGCATGGATAGCACACAAGTTGGTGTCCTCAAACAGACCCACCAAATAAGCCTCAGCAGCCTCCTGAAGAGCAAGGACTGCGTGGCTCTGGAACCTCAAATCAGTCTGTCAAAACAACAAACACAGATGAATCAAACACCAGATACTGATATTAATGCAATAAAAACAATCAAACAAAGATTCAAGAAGTAACAATACCTTAAAGTCTTGAGCGATTTCACGAACAAGGCGCTGAAAGGGCAACTTGCGGATCAAAAGCTCTGTGCTTTTTTGATACTTTCGGATTTCACTGATCATTCAATTAAAAAAAAAAAAAAAAGGAAATTGCAATTAGGGTTTGAAAAAAAAAAAACAAAGATGAATTAACAAAAAAATAAAAAACTTTCAAATTAGGGAAATCATTACCGAAGAGCAACAGTTCCGGGGCGATAACGGTGAGGCTTCTTGACTCCACCTGTAGTAGGAGCAGATTTTCTTGCAGCCTACAGTACACCAATTAAGCACCATTAATTGAATGAATTAGGGGGAGAATAATTAAAATTAATATTAAATCTTAAAACCCCAGATTAATAAGGAAAATTACTATGGGGAATAATTAGAGAATGATTTTAATTGAAAGCAAAGAGAAACCCTAGATATACACACCTTGGTGGCGAGCTGCTTCCTTGGAGCCTTACCACCGGTAGATTTACGAGCAGTTTGCTTAGTACGAGCCATTTTCTTTCTTCAGAACAACAAAGAGAAATTCTGCAAAGGACGAAACAACTTCTCGATGAGAATCCAAACAGATCCTCCCAAATTTATAGCGAAACAAAATCAAGAAAATAAAAGGGAGGAAAGATTAGAGATTGCTTCTTACCTTTCTGAATCGCAAGGAGAGATAAGAGAGAGAGGATGAGAAGATTTGTTGTTTGACTTGTGAATCCGTGAAGAAAAAATTACTCGCTTTATATAATGGCAAAATGGGGATTATGCGCCTAACGGCATGATCGTTGGAGAAGAGGATTTAAAATTTAAGAACGGCTGTGATTGGTTTATCTTTGATGGTCCAGGATCGCCAACCTCGAAAAGCTAATTTTGATTGGTGAGGTTTCATATAACAGGATTGCCAGCGTGGACGAGTTGTGTTTCTTTTGTGAGATAAAATCTACCGAGTTGCTTCTGTAGTAACTGGCTCGAGTCAACATAAACGACGTGGTATGTGAAAGAAATTCAAACGACATGTTGTTTGACATTTCTGTAAACGGCATCGTTGGTCGCTCAGTCTCTTTGCCAATTTTCTAGCCTCTCCCTCCTACTGTGTTGGATTTTGCAGTTTAGACTTTTGGCTGTGGCCATGGATGGCACCAAAAGAAAAGGCTACATATGGGCAGTATCTGCTGGATTAAATGCTGCTTTTTCTGCCATTGCTGCAAAATTCTTTGCATGTCAGGTAATTAATCTGAATCTCTGGGTCTTAATTTTTACCAATTTCGAATCTGTCTACTATAATGACTGAAATCCCAGATTAATTTTAGCTTTTACTGTCTCCCTAAATCATAATCTGTCCTTAACCCAATTCAGATTACTGTTCAATATCAGTCTCCTTGCCTAATTGTAATGCAGTTTCTGCTTTTTGGGTAGCTTGTGATTGATTAGTGATTTTTCTTTCTTACCTTGACAGATCATTAAATATGGTCTGATTGTGTTATTTAACGTGACATTGTGGGGTTGTTACGTTAACAGCCTTAAAGCTCTTTCTTCCCTACAAGCTACAGTGACAAACTTTGCTGCGAATTTCCTAAGTTCTGGTCTAGCTGGATTCTTTTTGTTCAACGAGACACTATCAGTTCAGGTAAATCACTGGATACTGTTAGTGCAGAAATTGGAATTCTGGTTTTATGTGTTTTCTTTGCATCCATAAGTTCTGCTGTTGATCTGACTCAATGGGAGCAAACCATCCTCACAGATTACCAACTTTGTTAGAAATTTGTAAACTGATGAACAATGTACGCGTTCCCAATACAAATAGGATGCATTTTTTCACATCAAATCATGAATTCTGTTGAATGCTATAAGCATCGCTTAGTTATAGTTTATTCTCCTCTGCATCACTACTTAAAATTGACGAACCATTAAAAGGCACCAGCTAACATATCAAATGCAAATGATTTAAGCCTGGGTTGTTCGCAATTGTAACTGCTAGCTGGTTTACACTAAAATTTGCTGATGTTTTCCTTTTACTTTTTGTGAATGGTTCACCTCTCAAGACGATCGCGGAGACATACGATTGAACTTGAGATGTTTAGTCTAGATTAGTTATATAACTCTCTAACTTGTCTAGCTCTGATGATCAAACCTGTTATACAGTGGTTTGCAGGTGCCTTGCTCATTGTGATTGGTGTGGTCATACTCAGCAAGTCAAGTATAGAAGGGAAGGAAAGTATTGATCAGAAGCTTGACTAGGGGTTCTCCATGTCTTGGCCCATTCGATACACTTTAGCTAAATGTTTCATTCAACATTTAGATGGTTTTGTAGAATGGTTTTATTCTCAAGTCTGACAATTATCTGTGTAATCTCGGTGAATTTAAAGGAGAATGTGATTGTTGTGTATAAATCCAATGTAGTCAACCAGATCACATACTGCATAAACTAACAAGATTGAATTGTTACCATCTTTCATAAGCTGATTTCTCTACCTCACAGACAGTTGCCAGTTGATTAGCACTTTGATTTGCCCTTTTTACTTCTAATTTTCATGGGACTTAATGTTGTTTAATTTTCATGCAAACCAGTACGAACTGTCTTGACTTTGGTTGCTTGCATCATCCCTCCCTGGATTTATTTCACTTTCTGTTGCCTATGAACTTCTGGTAACAAATTCACTAGCTGATTCTTATCAAAGACAGTCAGAGGTGTAGAGGTGATTAATAGCTGATTTGATGTCCTCCTCCCAACTCTATTCTCTAATTCAGGCAGGTTTTTCTACGTTTCTTGAGTCTTTCTTGTGGATGAAATCGATTATCAGGTTCCAAAATAATAATGATAAGAACTTGTCGCAGCAAAAGGTGGGATGTGTTAAAGAGGCTTTGCTCTTTTGTTTATTATTATTGTGAAGGTTAAAGCAAAGAAACTTTATTCCCATATATGATAAAAAATTCTTCAACGCGGATCTTATGATGAAACTCTGGACGGCAGCCGAAGAAAAAAGTAGTGGCATCCCAATTCATGACAGAGATAGCAAATCAGTGAAAGGCACATCACCTTCCAAGTCATTACCATGCTTGGAGCTTGGAAGAAATTTATTTATCTATGAAATATTTTATGGTATCCAACAAGTGTGTGTATATATATAAGAGAGAAATAGGAGAGAGAGAGAGAAAAAATAAGTTTAGACAGAAATATTTTATTATTTTTTGTGAATTTGAATATGAATTTTTTTTTCTCTCTTTTTTTTTAAATGGACTCATAAAGTAAATATTAATAGTTATTTTTAAATATTTTTAAAGAAAATTATTTAAAACTTAGTTAATCCATCACTATAAAATTTTAAAAATTTATAACATTTCGAGTCACGAATTAAATTCGTATGATTAATTTGTTTTCGCCATCTTGTAAATTTCTCCTCTTTTTTTTTTTTCGAAACTTTATGCTTCGTTTATATTGAGTTTTATTTATCCAGTTATTTGTAAACGAAGTATCAAAAAAGAAAATGACCATCATCAAATTGCGTAGAAAATAGGAAAAATAATTCGCAAAACAAAAAGACCTCGTATTGAATGGCCCAAAACAAGGTATATTGGGCCTCATCGGACATGAACCGTTGGTAATCCCGCCTCAGTAAATAGTTTAATTTTTTGCCAGAAAATACAGCTGCAGGGTATGGAATACAGAATGGAGACAAAAGTAGAAAAAAGAAAGAAGAAAAGAAAAAAAATAAACGTATTAAGACAAGACAGACAGGTAAAACCACCCACTCACTAAACAAAAAAACCAAGCAAAAAATTCGTTGCCTCTTCTTCTGCTGTTCCTTCCACAGATTTGACATCTTCTTCAACATCTAGGGTTTTCAATCTCTCTTTCTGTCTTGCCTCTTAAAGTAAGCTTAGATTCTCTTACATGTTCAATTTCCTCTCTTTATTGCTCACTTTCTTTACTATCGGATCAGTCTTTTTACCTACTTTTTTGCCACTGACATTTGGGGTTCTTGGTGCTTAAAGTGTTCCTTTGTGTAACTACTGCAGGTTGTTTGTGTGTTCATTTTGTTTGATTTTGGGTTTCGATTGTGTTTGAGTTTAAAGTTTTGAATTTTTAAAGGGGCTTGATGGGTTTTTTAACTTCTGGGATTTTTTTGTGTGGACAGTGGACAAGTGATGGTTCGTGGAGGGATGGATTTTGTAACATTTGATTTTAGATTTTTTGCTAAGAATTAATTCGGTGGTTTGACTTGTTAGCTGCATATTAGCATTACATAATAAGAATTATTTTAGTGGTTGACTGGAGGCAAGATTGAATCTTTGGTTAATTTCTGGAGATAATCAGGAGTCCAATTGCTAATTTGTGCTTGAAAACTCGGTCTTCAGTTATGAAATTTATTTACCATGTTCTCTGTGAGTAGGTGCTTTCATGATTTATAATCATTTGGTAGGTATTGGACAATTCTTCTGAATGCTTGTCTCTTGGTCTAGTCTGTTTACTAAGATAGCATTTGTAGCTTGTGGAAAGTTAGTCATCTAGCTTTTTCCTACAGTGGCGCATTCTGAAAGAACTTGGACTATTATGCAACAACTGACTTGCATGTATTAAGCACGGTGGCAAGCATTTTTCCTTAAACAGTCATCTGCAATATATGCACTCTCTCACTCTGCACTAGAACTTGTTTGATATTTGCATCTTTCTGTTTTAATATTCAGTATTGTTGTATATATGCGCAATTATTCTTATAAGTATGCTTAAGTTGTTCTTGGATGTTACTGTTCTGAACCACTATTTTACCCCTACTTGCATCTATGTTGTTGATAAGAACTACTTTAAAAAGTGCTCTTCACTCTCTCATTCCCTAACACTCCAACAGCAGCATTGATCCAACAAGGTTAATAAAAAAACATCCTTGTGGAAGGTTGTAACCATGAGTGTATGACCTTCCAATTCCGCATTTTGGAGCTGTTCCATAAGCACTCATATGTGGTTGAATAATTTTTTGTTGAAAGGTTGATTTCTGTTCTGCTGATCTGGATATATAATTTGTTTCTTATGCAGGAAAGTTTTGCAAGGGGATGGGTTTTTACTTGTGATTCGAATTGCACATGGTAATTGTGGCACTTCCCTTCTTGTTTTTATCATTAGCATAGGAATTGTCTTGCCCCTTTTTTTTCATGCAATATGCCCTAGAAACAATGATCTTAATTACTTTTCCTCCTTTGAGATACAGGATTTATAGCTTGGATACGCGTTCAATGCTCAATTGACTGAGCATTGCATGTACACTTGGGGTTTTTAGTTGGTACCTGCAATAATTGCCTCCTGTAGAGCTCATATGGATGATGGTGGGCATCGTGAAAATGGCAGGCACAAACCGGATCCATATAAAACAGCTCAGGGCCAGGTATCTTAAAGCAACTTTCTGCTGACTCTAACAATTAAAAACTATATGATACAATAGGTTGAATTCAATTGTAGAGTATTTAGTTTCTGATATTGCATTATAACGGCCAGTTCTTATTATTGTTATTTTTTATGCTGTCATTGCAGTGGCTGGTGCAACCACAGCCATCCATGAAACAGATCATGGCCATCATGGCTGAAAGAGATGCTGCCATTCATGAGAGAAATATGGCCCTCTCCGAAAAGAAGGCGGCTATAGCAGAGAGAGACATGGCATTCCTGCAACGAGACTCGGCAATTGCTGAGCGAAATAATGCCTTACTGGAGCGAGACAATGCTATTGCAACTATGCAATATCGAGATAACTCCTTGCCAAGTGGTAACATGTCCCCTAGTCCGCCAGGATTCCACAACTCGCGTGGGGTGAAGCACATGCACCACCAGCAGCAGCATATGCATCATCTGCCCCACATGAATGAAGGTGCATATGGTACTAGGGAAATGCAGACAAGTGATGCTGTGCCAATGTCACCGGTTGCTTCTGAGGTTGCAAAGCCACGGCGGGGTAAACGACCAAAGGATGCCAAGGCTACGCCAGCCAATAAAAAGACTTCAAAATCTCCAAGGAAGGTTAAGAGGGAGAGTGAGGAGTTGAACAACATGTTTGGAAAGTCACATGAGTGGAAGAATGAGCAGGATATGAGCGGTGGAGGTGAGGATCTAAACAAACAGCTGGTTGCATCTAAGTCTGATTGGAAGGGTCAGGACCTGGGACTGAACCAGGTTGCATTTGATGAAACAACCATGCCAGCGCCAGTGTGCTCTTGCACTGGAGTTTTTAGGCAGTGCTACAAATGGGGAAATGGTGGATGGCAGTCTTCATGCTGCACAACCACCTTGTCAATGTATCCTCTACCTGCAGTGCCCAACAAGCGGCATGCTCGTGTTGGTGGGCGAAAAATGAGTGGGAGTGCATTTAGCAAACTGCTTAGCCGACTTGCAGCTGAAGGCCACGATCTGTCAAATCCAGTTGATCTCAAGGACCATTGGGCCAAGCATGGAACTAATCGCTACATAACAATTAAATAGATGAAGAACTCTGCAAATCTCAAGGACCATTGGGCCAAGCATGGATAAAACATGGAATCAGCATTTAGTCATCAATTAGCTGTATGGATCCTCAATTTTTCTTATCTGCTCTGGGGAAATAATGATTACATAACAGCCGTAACCTAGGCTATCAAGTAAGTGACACCCACCGCATTTCGTTTTCCTTCACACTGTCTTAATGTCATTGCTGTAGATCTTAAAGTTGTGGTGTATTTGTAGTATTTATCCTAGTCACTCTAGCTAAATGTAAAGGGTCTTTTGCAAGGTGGGGTTAAACTCTTATGAATATAAGTATTAAGTTATGCTATCTACGTGTTCCAAATGTTTTTTTTTTTTTTTGTTTGATCTACTTTTCCGTTGATTGGTCTTCTGAAGTGTTAAATTCTAAGAGACATGACGCTCCTTTTTGGCTCGGCTTATCAACCGATGTAGCATATACTGCTCTTTCTATTTGGAGAACGTCACATCTTATTACTGCTCAAGGAGTAAGCAAATGGGGTTAAGTGAGATTCTTTGCCAAGTAGAAGGCTGCGAATTAGATATGATGCCGTAAATTCAATTGTCAAATTATTATGTGGAGGTTTTGCGTATATGTTTACCACAGAGAAGTTAAGACTGCAATCATCCATTGAAAAGGTCCAGACTTTGAAGCTCAACATGCCTCGACTTCGACAGACATCGTTATTGCAGGCTTTTCGTAAGAAATTTTCAGGTCTTCTTGTCCTTGGGCGGAACTAAGGACAGCCATGGGCCAATATTAGGACTGGGATTTTATAGAAAGCCTTGGGCCTTCTTGGCTTCAAACAGATTTCGAACCTATCTTTTTCCTTTTTTCTTTTTGAGTAAAAAAATTTTTGGAACAAAATTCAAATTGAGTTTAATTTTAATTCATTTTGATGAAAATTTAAATTACTTTCGCATTCTAATTTTAATTTTATTTTTTTAACGGTGTCTTACATTTAGTATTTATTTACGGCAGTCCATTGGTTCTATCAAGAACCAATATTTTGATATTCAATCTTTGGTCAGCCCGTTTTTACTTAATATGGTCCAAACTCGGCAATGTCGTCAACAATTGAGAGAAGAATTACGGAAAAGAAGTTGATGTAAAGAAATGATAAATTAATTTTGCCACCGCTGACAATTGATTAACGTTAATCAAATACACTTTTGGGTTAAAAAACAAAAGATTGGAAAGAACTCTACAGTTTTAGTGTCAGATTCAATGATTATCAGCACGGATGAATCAGACAGGGATAACTGTAATTTTTTGTGTTTCTCATCATGCACAAAACAGTAGAGTTCAGAGCCCGATTTTAGATTCAAAACAAAATAGAAAACAAAATCTTGAAATAAAAAGCTGTGAAAATGCTCAAGCCTCAGACCGTCCTAGTTCATGAGTTTCAACAATTACGCAAATCAATCGACTTGCTTTCAGTGAAAACCAAAGTTGTCATCATAGGCTAACTGCACAGCGAACACAAAAAAAAATGTAAAAAATGAGATTTGAAGGATGGAAGCGGAGAGAGAGAGAGAGAGCATCAGATCTTCCTATTCAATAATGTAAATCATAAAAACCCAAATAAAAGTCTGAGCATTCAACAATTCGAAAAGATTCGTCATTTGCCTCTCCAAATTGAAGAAAAAACCCAGAGATTTGTTCAAAAAAGAAACCAGAAAAGAAGAAGAAAAGGAAGCGTTTTGGTGAGGGAGAACGGCGTTTTTGAGTTAGGTTTTTAGGGTATTATCAGTGTCCTTTTATAGAGGCTCTTTACGAGGGTTTCTCTAGACAAGGAAACAAGGGAACTTTAAATGGAGCCGTAAATTTTATGTTGTTGCTCTGATTGGATCCCAAGTTTTGTTTGGTAACTGCAAGCCCATTATTTTAATTTCATGGCCTGCTAGATGCCTGGATTGGATCCTATGCTTTGGCCCAATTGGTAAGCATTATAAATAAAAGGTCAACAAAAGGGCCACTTCTATGGTGACTCCTAAGCATCACAATTGTTGGGCTTCAACCCGAAGTTTAGGGTTGTCACAATAGTTAAAAAAGTTTGTTTTTTATTTTTATTTTTATTTTTTTGGTATATTCATATTTTAGAATTAAAGAGAATTTATTAAAAAAATTTAAATATATCAAGCGATGAGTGCGTCTTTAAAATTATCTCGAAAAGGTTAGTCTCGATTGACATGCACTTTGACTCAAAGATGCCTTTAAAAAAAAAAAAAATTATACGAACTTCAAGTCATGATTTTTTTACTAAGTTTTAAGTATGAATTATTTGTGTATTTATCTTATCACTTTTCAATTCAACTGATTATTTTATAATTATGCTGGTTGCAATTAATGGAGTACAAATATGACTCGTGAAGTAAATTGGTAATTTTAAAAAAAATGCCTAAATTGTTTATTTCCTAAGTTATTGTATGCTTGCATACTACTAAATATAGTTACTTATCGTACTGTAAACGTATACCTTTATCGTTTTGTAAATTAACTGATTCTTTCGTAATCAAATTAAAATTTATGAAAAATAAAATTATTTAAAACACTAAGAAGTGGAGAAGAAAACATTTATGAAAATAAAATTACCAGAATTACCATGTTTATAAACTAACGAGTACATATAAAAAATTAAATAGTCATTTTCATAGGTTTTCCTCCCACTCCCTTTCGAAATGGGAGAGAAAACATGATGATTTTTTCAATCTTGTAAAATTTTCAATGTACAGGAACAAAGTTTTATTTCTAAAAATAAAAACACGAAGTCTTTCACCTCTTAACAATTAGGTTCGGTTCGCTGTGGGGGCAAAGGTGGATAAACATCACATGCCTATTTTGCTCCAATATTGGATCCAAAAATAATTCCGGACCGGAAGAGGATGAGTAAATTATAAATTAGTCCTTTTAACTTTGCAAAATGAATTAAATATTTATTTTAATTTTAAAAAATAATTAATTAATATTTTTCTTTTGTTTTATGCCTTTTTTAAATTTTATTTTATTTCAAGAAATAAAAAAGGTAAAAAAAATAGATAGATATTATAAATGTATTAATGAGATAAGAAAATATATTTTTTAGAAAATAATATTAAATTAAATATGGTTAATACTGGTCAAATAACTAAATAAATAAATTTTAAAACTAAAAGTACGATTGAATTTGTTTGACAAAACAATAGGGACTAATATATAATTCACTCGAAGAGGATAGAGGGTTTATCTCTCTCTCTCTGTTTTTTTTTCCATTATTTTTAGAAAGAGATAGAAGGAAATTTAAAATAGCGGGAATGGGGGAAAAAAGGAAAAAAGAAAAGGAAAAGATGCAAATTACTCCTCATAAAATAAATACTAAGGGCAACAAAACCTCCCTCTCTCCTCCACACTAGACTTCCTTTAATAATAAAAAAGTAGCTATTCTTGGACAAACCAAACGATTTCTTTTTATCCCTTTATTCTCTCGTTTCTCATGCTTCCATTTTGAAAATTAGGGTTCTCTTGTTCTGCTCTCCTTCCACTGTCAAGCCTCTAAAACCCTAATCGACCCCGATCTCTTCAGCCTTCAACTAGCCGTTACTCCCTCTTTCCCGCCAATTTTACTTCTTACCAGCCGTTCACCACTCTCCATTTCAAACACTAACCGTTAGATCTGCTCTTATTACTACCAACTTCTTTTCAAGCTCGCCGGAAATGTCTGCTGTTGGAGTGGAGATGAAGGCTGAAGAGGAGACGAAGGTAGAAGAGAAAGGAGGGGAGCTATTGTTCTGTGGCGCCACGTGCTGGGATATTGTTGGTCGCAAGAAAGGTGCGCAGGAAGGTAACTTGGTCTCTCCTACTCGGCTCCGTCCTCTTGTTGGTGTCGATATCCGCTTCGTTGCCTCTGGTTCCTGTGAGTTCCATTCCCTGATTATTTAGTTACCCGCGGCGTATAGCACATAAAAATTAGCACTCTTGATTGGTTATTTTACTATGTTACTTTTTTTATTTTTTTTTTGGTGTAGCTTCGTGTCACTGTGTAGCATTGGATGTTGAAGGGCGTTGCTACACATGGGGACGCAATGAGGCACGGGCTTAACTGATTTCTGAAGTTGTTTATTAAATTTACTTAGTCTATGTTAATGCCAGTGAACTAATGAAGCTTAGCTTGTGTTTACAGAGGGGGCAACTGGGTCATGGAGACACGATTCAGCGTGATAGGCCGACAGTCGTTTCTGAACTTTCCAAGTAAGTGGTTGCAGTCAATGCTATTATATTTGATTGGCCTATTCAAATATATCTGTACAAAGGAGAGTTGTTTTGGATCTTTGGGCGGACTTCTAACCGGCATTTTTTTTATGTGCATTTACTGTAACTTGGGAAAGGATGAGCGTCGAAATAGATAAAGGCTGTATGAATTTCTTCGGTTTCAGTGTGATTAGGTTTTCAATTGGCATTAATGGAAGTATATTTAGGATTTTTAGGGTCTTTTGCTGAGTTATTAGGCATTATAGAAGCAGAGATGATTTTTTGTAGGGAGTGAGATTGGAAAAGTTCCCTAGATCTAGCGAAAGGTTCACGCAGAGTCCTTGTTTCTTTGGTGCTGGGCGTGATACGGAGTCTGAAAATGTGACATCATCAAGCAGCAAGTGCTTCTAGACCTTGATCTGTAGCATCTCTTTGTTGAAATGTTGACTTGTAAAGACTAAGGGATTATGCAAATTGTTATCAAGAGTCTAGACTGGTCATGCTTGTTTGTCATTTCTGCGATGTGTTTGTGCCTGATTCACAATAAGAAATCTCTCAAAAAAGTTTGTCAATGCAGAATAATTTTGACCATACTTAGGGAGAGATCAGGTTATACCTCTTAATGTTCATTTCATGGTTTTGGAGAAAGGTTCAAAGGTTTGTGCAAACCTGTTAGTTATAGTATGAGGGAATGATTAGTGCTATTCTGAAAAGGTCTTTGTTTTCCTAAAAAAAAAAAAAACTCCATAGGGAGTTATCTAGAAATTGACCAGTGGAAGAAGATGTCACAGGACAATTAGCTCCGACCCACTCATTTTCAAAAATTCAAGTTTGTTACTTCTGAATTAGGTTGAGTAATTTGCGAATAGGTGATTTTTGTTAGAGGATATTGTTCTTTATAGTAATTCGTCATTTTACCTCGCAACAATTCAGAACTTGACTGAATCGAGTACCTTGCTCTAGTGGCCTGGTTGGCAGTTTTGTGCCTTGTTGCGAATTTCGGATTGAACAGTGTTCATAGACTTTTAAGTTGCAACTTGGTAAAGTAATATTGGACCATCCTGCTACTTTAAAAAATTCATATGGGCTCCTGGATTTCCTTCTAATATTTTCTTTCATCCTTTTTTCTCTTTTACAAAAACTGGATCAGGTTTGATGATTTGAAACTAGGTGGTTATTGTGAGAGGAGTTTTATGTGGAAAGAATCAAAGAAATTTCTGTGTTTCTAACCAAAGAAATGTTGATAAATATTTCTACTAACCCTTATTGGTTTTGATCTGAAGGTATAAACTTATTAGTGCTGCAGCTGGTAGGAGCCATACAGTAGTGGTTACTGAAGATGGTTTATCACTTGCATTTGGCTGGAATAAACACGGGCAGCTGGGCTCTGGCTCAGCAAGAAATGGTAAATCCATCTTCTTCTAGACCATGTTGAATGAAATTTCAAGGCTCAGATACTTTGATTAGCGAGTTTGCATTAAAATTTGTACGTTCAAATCATTTTGATATTCTCGTTGAAGGGTATGGAATTTTGTTTCTTTTCTTGACTGGCTTTGTATTGTTGCATGTCCATAATGAGCTTAAAAATGGAATTTTGTTATTGTAAGTTGCTTATTTTTAGATGCTAATTGGTTATAGAGTGTTTGCTGTGTGTCAACTAAAATGCTTAATTTCAGATATCAACGTTCTAGATTATGCTTTTGCTCTACTTCTCTGTAGAAATGGAGTCATCTCCTGTTCGCTGTCATGTGTCTGATGTCAAAACTACTGCTTGTGGTGCCGACTTCACGGTCTGGTTATCCTCTGCTGAAGGAGCTTCTATATTGTATGGTTTGTGGATATGTTTGAGTTCTGTATTTCTTGGTTGTACAACTGAACAACTTCATGGCTAATTGTTCTCATTTTATTCAGAATACTTGCTGATTGGCATAATGTTCTTTTGGTTTCTAGATCTGCAGGTCTTCCACAGTATGGTCAACTTGGACATGGAACCGACAATGAGGTATGTTGGAAGCAGATCTTTCCTTGTATTTTCTGAGCATTTTGTTAAAGTTGAATAATCCTAGACGCACTGTCGCTACATTCAGTGATTCTGTGTGGCAGCAATAAGGTATAGTACAGTTTTATATGGCTCCTTTTGTGTGTTTTTTGTACTGGCATCATGCTTGGGTTCTCAGGGAAGTAATAAAGGTGCATGGCAACATCTTATAGTAAATTTAGATATCAAATCTTCAAACTTGTTTGCATTGCTTTCTACCATTGTATCTTGTAAGCTTTTTCAAATCAGTATCTGTTTGGTTGTGTCTGGTTTCTCATATTCTGAGATGGCAGTTGTTTAATCAGAATTTCTGCACCACAGCAGTCCAGGCATTGTAAACCAGTTTATTTTTAGTCCTTTTACATTAAGTGGCAAATCTGATTGATGTAGTCTGTTATTGAGGCTTTTAAATGTTTTGGGAGCGTACAGAATATCTGGAATCTAGTTCATCTCCTTGTAAATTGAAGTAACTTGTGCTTGTCAAGCTACACTTTGTCATATCATGACTTGCTTCTAGTCACGGATTTTAATGTAATTTTGTGTGCTTGCAGTACAATACAAAAGACAGCTCAGTCAGGCTGGCATACGAAGCCCAACCTCGCCCTAGAGCGATAGCTGCTCTTGCTGGGGAAACCATTGTGAAAGTTGCATGCGGAACAAACCATACAGGTTATTATTTAATGCATTTTCCCTCCTATCTCTCAATTTTGGGTGCACCCTGTTTGACATGCTTCCTGCTGTTTTGTTGCATTGACCAATTCATTATGAGCATCCAGTGGCTGTGGATTCAAATGGTTATGTTTTCACGTGAGTATGTTCCTGCTTATTCACTAGATACACTTTGTATTGTTCCCATGTATCTGAGATTTACTTATATTTGCAAACTCTTTCTGTTGGTATATTTAGGTGGGGCTTCGGCGGTTATGGAAGGTTTGTACTATGCATTTGAGATTGGTCTCTGTGAGTCATGCTGTTGTGGACAACTGAAGCATTTTGGGCATCGATAAATTAAAGATTTTGAAATCTTGTACATGGTAACATTATATCTTTTTTTCTATTTCAGTATTCATGTAATTTCATGATTTTGCTTTGTAGGCTTGGACATAGAGAGCAGAAAGACGAGTGGGCCCCTCGGCGTGTGGATGTATTCTCAAAGCACAATGTTCTGCCTTCTGATGCAGTTATTTCAGCTGGTTCTGTGAATTCTGCATGCACTGCAGGTATGTTAGACTGGTGTGTTATACTGAAATTTTTTTTTGAGGGATGCTACAGACCATAGACTGGACCAACTAGAGGACCCAGCAATTGTATTTGTGGAACATAATCTACCTCAGACAAGTAGAAACAAAATTGTCCAAAAAGCCCCCAAATTCCTTGTTTTCTTGGATTGCATCACTTCCCTGTTATGATTATTATTCAGATTAAATGCGAATGGTGATCACAAAATTGCTCGATATAGAGTTTGAAGATGGATGCATGATCTAGAAAATGGCAATCAAGATTATATCATCACTGTTGAATGGAGATGATTTTAAGATGACTTAGTGCATTATTATATCATTAATCAAATTTTTAGAATGGCTTCCAGATAATATCTAGGTTTATATATTGTCTAGAAGACACCACAGGACCATAGCAATATGATTTACTGTATAATTTTGTACCTTATTAAGCTTTATCAAACTAGCCATTGTCTGGCTCTGTTTTAGCCTGCTTATATTAGTAAATTTTCATTCCAAATATATGATTCTGTTCGAATTTCCAGGAGGCGGACAGTTGTATATGTGGGGCAAAATAAAAAATACTGGTGACGACTGGATGTATCCTAAACCTCTTATGGATTTAAGGTTCTTGTCTATGCCATTGTTATATTACCGTTATCTTTTTCACTTTTGATTTGTCATTTTGGCCCTGCTTTCCTTTGTGAATGCTATTCTACTATTTTGTAAAGACATTGCTGTTTTGTGTTCTAATTATATTCGATTTAGCAATGCCTGCACAATAATATACTTAGCGATAGTAATGTTGGTTAACTTGTGAATCACTTCTGTGTATTTGAATATTTGATATTAATGGCTTACGCAAAGTTTGGGATTCTTTCATTTCTTCAATAAACTAGTATTGATCTATAAATAACAAATATATATCCAATATTTGTTTTTTTTTTTTTTTCAGTGGTTGGAATTTACGTTGCATGGATTCAGGAAACATGCATCATTTTGTTGGTGCTGATAACTCTTGCATAAGTTGGGGGCATGCTCAGCATGGAGAACTGGGATACGGCCCTAATGGTCAAAAGTATTTATTTTTTGAACACTTATCATTTCTAAGGTCTTTTATTTTGTCTTTACTTTTCACTTTATGTTTATTTCTGTGCTTCAGGTCTTCGGCTGTGCCCAAGAAGGTCGATATCCTGGAGGGCATGCATGTTATTGGGTGAGCAGCTACTACTACTACTACTCGTTATATTTGTTTAATTGAAATTTATGTATTGATAGCAATATCTGCTTCAATTGTCCCTCTGGACTTAACAATGAGAGCTTTTCCCTTCTAGTGTTGCTTGTGGCATGGGCCATTCCATGGTCATAGTTGACAGAACAGATGTTGGTGATCGACTTGATCAGGTAATACGATTAGAATCATAGTCTTCCTGGGATTGCAAGCTGAGTGCTCTTTATGTGCCTTAAGGTTCAGTCTCTTTTTTCAAATTATGGTTTGTTGGTGTTGTTTGCTCATTCTCTTATTTTATCAATAAAATAAAGCAACTATATGGTTTCAACAAAAATCTAGTTATTGATAACTTTTGGTACTTGCTCAAAAGTATAAAGAGGTGTTTATTTGGTGGGAAGTGGAAACAAGATATATGTTTTGAAATTACAAACGGCTCATGTTGGTAGAGAATTGTTCTCTTAAAAAGTCAACTTGGTTGCTATGATTGTCGCTGCAGGAGCATTTTATGTTCAAAATACTGAGGATCCATATTTGATATTTTGTCTAAACATGGATCCTCAGAATTGTCCACGGAATTCCCAGATATGAATCCCTGGCAGTGACAAATGACTCCTTTTACAGTCCCTCTGTATTTTTTGTACATTGTGTGGTTCTTTAGATATGGCATTATTGAAGTTGGTGTGCAGGTGTATGGCTGTGTGTGTGCATGCATATGTGTGCTGTTTGATTTCTGCTAATTACATGTATACTCATGTGTAATGCTTGTGTTCTTAACAGCTTGATGTCTATGATGGCAAAGCTTCTGGTGAAGGTATGCTAAATGTTAAATGTACATTTTATTGATTTATTTTCTCATTGGTAAATTCCTCTGCCTCTTTCTCAAAATAAATTAATTAATAATAAAAACGCCTCTGCATCTGTTAGGAGCAGACATGTGTAAGTAGTTTTGGCAACCAGATCTCTGCCTTGTTTACCATTAGTTATGAGCAATTTCTATAGTGCCTCAGTGATTGAAACAACTTGATCTCTTTGTTCGAAGAAGCAAAGGGCCTACCAAAAGACACCAATGAGGTTGTGACTCATCAGTGAAGACAAACTGGAATTTGACCTGGTTATTTAATATTATTCTGCAGGTAGTGGGGAGCCTGAGAGTAAAGATCATGTTAAGCAAAGTGCGAAAAAAGGTTCTGCTAAAGCTTCTGATAACTCCAGAAAGAGGAAGTCAAAAGATTCATCGGAATCTGAAGACGAAGAGAATGCTGATGAAAGTGACACCAGTGAAGATCAAGTCAATGGTCAGACAGAAAAGAAGAGCAAACGCGGTGGAAAGGTTTCTGGTAGGGCTCAAAGTAAAGGTGAAAAGAGTACTGGGCGAGGGCGGGGCAGGCCTCCATCGGCAAATAAAAGCACAAATTCTTCTCATGAAAAAACGGGCAAGAGAGGAAGGCCGCGCAAATCATAACTCACAATTTCCAGGTTCCAATAGGAAATTTTGTTCTCTCAATGTGGAGAATTGTACTGTCTCATACATTAACCGCTGTAATTTGCCTTCTTCATTAATTTCGTTATATTTTCAATCTTCAGTTGCCTCCATATTTTCTGTTTTCTTCATGAAAACAATTTTTCTGGGTTGGTATTTGAGGATTTGGAGGGCTGGGAGAATTGTATGATTTGAGTGGCAATTTGTATCAAAATTTTAATATGCAAGGAAATTCTGTCGTCATATTGCTAAAGTAATTGATGGAGTATGTGGGAACTTCTAGCATGGATTTCTTTCAACTCATTTCTTTCAATTTCTTCAATCGATCTTGTGCATTGGCTGGACCTTGTGGGTCCCTGAATTCCTCACTTTGTTTTATCATTGAGTAATGCTCCAACGGCTAACCTTTTTGGGTTTGACTTTTTGTTTATCTTTGATTCCTTGAGTGCAGCCAAAGGAATTGCGGTTGGTTCGCTTGAGTCCCTTCTCGTCAGAACAACCCCTGTTCTAGAATCGACCGTGGCACTCGCGGAAGATGATGGCTTGTTAGCACGAAGTCGGTATCTTCTTGGTCAGTTTAAGATCATGCTTCAAACAGCGATTTTTTTGCACATCTTTCATGTGGGCCAACTGGTTCTTTGATCCAGCAACAGGGGATTGTGAGAATGTCAGAACTTAGTTCAGGACTGAGATGTAACTCAAAGCTGCAATGCTTTTAATTGTATTACAAGGAATCATTATGCCTTAAAATCTGGGTCTATCATCTTATTGTACTCCGTTTTTTATTCCTGTTATTAAAGTCAAAACTGAAATTGAGCAGAGAAATAACTATTTATCTCGGCATTTCCACTTACATGAATAGACATGCCAACATTTCATTGATCACCTACCAGTTCCTTCAACCGTTGCATCACCTGTAGGCGTCGGATGCAAGGCTGACGAATCATTTGTATCGTAATTCCGGACAGCACCTGAATCTTCTTTATTCGTCCCAGGAGGGATTTCCCAGTAAAATTCATAAGATAGTCAGGAACTCTCCGGTCAGCGGCGAATGGTATTAGCTCAAATCCATGTCCTTTCAAGTCGGCAGAACTGTCCAAGAATCTCTCATATGGCTTCTCCCAAGCTTCATGTTGTCATCCAGTAAGCCCATGCATTAACAGAGAATCATAGACTATGGTCTTGGCTGGTATTTCGTATCGAACTATTTTGCATTTGACAGAATTCTCTCCTGGGAATAGTGGTGGCACTTTTGGTTGTAATCTCTAGGTGTTTAAGACTTTAAACCACAGCTTTGAGATAAAGCAATTTGCGTGTGTGTATATGTATGTATGTATGTATGTATGTATGTATATATATATATATATCTTAAATTCATATGTAATAAGCCTTAGGCGCAAGGGATAGAGCATCTCTCGTGAGGAATAAGACCGGGTTGCCGTCCTGTAAAGTTGTTAGCAGATAATTGCCTATAACATCAAACAAAGATGTTAATTAAGGAAAATTCGCTTAAAAATTCCAGAAATCATTAGTTTACAAAAGTCTACATTTTTTTCAATGCGAGCCAAATTTCCAAGTTCTGGCGGCAAAACTCCTGAAAGCTGATTAAACTCGACAGTGCTGCATGGTTTTTTTTTTTTTTTCCCCTCAAACCATTAAATCCACACAAATTATTACTTAATTAAAAAAAATAAAAGGAGAAAAGGATTGATCTTATATATCTTACAAATTTGCAAGAGTGCCGATGTTTCCAATTGCTTTTGGGATTTGACTGGTTAATCGATTTCCGATAATAGAACTGCATATAAATATTGACACATTAATTTCATGTATAACTAGATATTATTAAAGTATATGAAAAAAAAATATATACATGTTAACCAGTTGCGTGGCACCCCATTCTGGAGGGATAGTACCATTGAGGTAGTCACGTGTGAAGTCACTTTGAAAAAAAGAAAAAAATTATTAAGGAAATTAATAGGAGCATTCTGCTATATCATATGTAAAATAATATTTTAATGTTGTGTAGGTATTTAAATGAGATGATTATGAAAATGCCTAATGTTTCAAAAAAATCACGAATTATACAAGTTTTAATAATTTTGGCTCGTTCTTTAAAAATTATATAGAAAGATTACCAATTGAGCATCCGATAACAATGCTAGCATCGATTTGATTTGTCAATCAAAATTATAATCAACATTGACATGGCAAGCAACAAAGCATGACATGTGGACTTTAGCAAGCGATATAAGAACCATGTAAACATGATACATGGACTTTAGCAAGTCACGTATGATCCACACAAACGATAATGTGAAAAATCAATTATGTGGATCCTACGTAGTTTGCTAAAGTATACATGCTATGCTTACGTGGATTTCTATGTTAACGTTGGTTGAAATTTTAGTCGAAAAATCAGATCGATGCTAGTATTGTTATCGGATGCTTAGTTAGTGACCTTTCTATATAATTTTAAAAAACGAGTTAAAATCATTAAAAAAATATATAATTCGTGATTTTTTTAACATTAAGTATTATAAAAATTTTGGAGCTAAATTTGATAAAGAATTTTCTTCTGATACAACTTACATTTCTTGGAGGCAAGGGAAGCTGCCCAAATCCAGTGGTAAAATAAAATCAATGCACTGAAACACATCGTGCAACGTAAAGAGTAATTTAATGAGTTGAGACTCTAGCATTATGGTATTAGCAAGGGATGAATTATGGTATTTTAGTGATATTTTTCAGCTGACGAGTTAATCTTTGGCAAGAAATTCATGCAACCACAGCCATGTTAAGATGGGGTCAAATCATGATCGCAATTATATGAATCATAGTCTCATAACGTGGGTGGAATTAACCATTCGAATTGTGCTTACACGCATTCTTTTGACTGGAAAGGAAGTGATTATAGGCGAAAGAGATTTTTGTACAAAGAAACAAAAAATTATCATGGTTTCGTAACCACTTTTTCTTTGACTGCATTATCCTCTCTTTATATCCGAAAGAGATTTTTTGTTTCAACTTTTCATATAAATTGAAAAAAATTATTAACTTTTATTATATTAATGTTTTTCAAAAACACTTTTAAAAAAAAATTTTATATGTGAGCAATTTTTATAAAATTAATTTTAATCAGAAATATTTTAGCAAAATATATTAATGCTATGGATATGAATGGGTTGCGACGTTTTTTATTTATTTATTTATTTATTTATAAATATTATCATATTCACTTGGTTTGGCCGAATTAAATGAGGAGTTATTCTCATTCGTCAAGCATTATCTTCCATTTGTCTGTATTAATTAGCGGGGGATGAATTATGGTGTTTTAGTGATATTTCAGCTGACGAGTTAATCTTTAGCAAGAAATTCATGCAACCATTGCCATGTTAAGATGGGGTCAAATCATGATCGCCATATGAATCATAGTCTTATAATGTGGGTAGAATTGACCATTAGGAATTGTGCTTCCACGCATCCTTTTGAATGGAAAGGAAGTGATTATAGGCGAAAGAGATTTTTGTACAAAGAAACAAAAAATTATCATGGTTTCGTAACCACTTTTTCTTTGACTGCATTATCCTCTCTTTACATCCGAAAGAGGTTTTTTTTGTTTCAACTTTTCATACAAATTAAAAAAATTAGTAACTGTTATATTATATTAATGTTTTTCAAAAATATATTTTTTTTAAATTTATATTTAAGCAATTTTTATAAAATTAATTTTAATCAGAAATATTTCAATAAAATATATTATTGCTATGCATATGAAGAGGTTGCCACGTTTTGTTTTGTTTTGTTTTGTTTTTTTTTTTTTTTTAATATCATCATATTCATTGGGTCTGGCCGAATTAGATAAAGAGTTATTCTCATTCGTCAAGCATTCATTCCGACCTTGATTTATTTTATTTTATTTTATTTTTTTGGTAGTATTACAAAATAATGTCCTAATAAATCAATATAATTGAGTCATTCACTTGCTTTTGCTCGTATTATTGAGTATTTTTTGTCCTAGTACAATTCTCTCTCTCTCTCTCTTTTTTCCTGTTTTGTTTTTTTAGTGTTGGATCCCTCATGAAAATGTATACAATCCAACACTTTTTTTCACCAATCATTTAACGGCATGATAAGAAGGTAAAGTAGAAACGAATAGCACGATGAGGAAAATTAGAAACGAAATGATCACGTTCAGCCTTCTTTCCGAAACGTGCCAGTAAAGATTACTTAATGATGGCATTAAGTCATAGAATAATATTCTAGACCAGGCTAACAAGGCTTAATTAATCATGGATATTTTTATTTTATTTTATTTTTCATATAAATATATAAAGAAGAGTTCGAATTTAAAAATTTTTTGAAAAAAAAAGGAAAAAGAAAATTAATATCAATTGAAATGAGATTCATTAGTATGGATAAAATTTAATAATACGTGGCGTGTGTTTGCAATTGGTCTATATAGAATGATTATTAGGTATACGTTAAGCATTGTTACATAAATAGATAAGAGAGAAAACAAAATGAATTTGCTGAATAAAGGTGTATGGTGTGACCATGAAAATTAATCTGAACCAATTTTGGAAATTTTGACCAGTTTTGACGCAACAATTTTTAATTACCAAAACAAAGGATATAATAGAAACAAATTAAATCTGCAATTAGTACCTTTCATTTCTTTTCAAATGGCAAAAGTGCTTAATTATTAGATCTAAATCAGTACCTTTCATATATATATTTTTTTTATGAAATGGCAAAAGCGCTTAATTATTAGAGCTAAACAAATATGATTAGCACCTTTCATTTCTTCTGAAACTGCAGAAGTCTTAATTATTAGAGCTAATGTAGGCGTATATGCTCTAATTTGGGATAGCAATCGATGACGGAGTTATTCTAAAAGGATTGGGTTTTTTTTTTTTTTCACGATTTCATTATAAATTGAAGCCCAGAATTTTATTGTCACATTCAAACCAAAAGAAAAAAATTGCCAATCGAAGGAGAATAGGGATAATTCATGATATTTATGCTACGTGAGTTTTGTAAATTTGTAGCCATGTTCTAATTAATTAAACTTTGATTGTATAGGATATAAGTTTTTACCAACTAAATGATAAAATTTTCAATGTTCTATGTTCAATTAGCTAGGTTGATGATGAGGATTTGCACATTAGATACAGTCCAACATTAAGGCTACATTTTCCAGCCTGCTTTTGCTAATAAGTCACCTGTTGGGACTCTAATGGATATGTTAACTACAATTAAGTTTGATGGTTCTCATACCATGCAAAGCATGCCAACTAAATGACAAATACAATAGCAAGATTAAGATCCATGTGGATGGAACTAGGTGATAGTTTCCTTGTGCGGTTTATCATAAACTCATTGCTTTCTAAATATGATCTATTTCAAATAAGTTACAATATTATAAAGGATAAGTTGAGAGCGAGATGAACTGCAAAGTATGCTCATTTAAGAGGAAGCAAGGCTTAAGAAGCAAGGAATTTAGCCAATTAATCTTGTAGGTCATTAAAGAGCTAGAAAGAAACCTAGAAAGGATAAAGGAAAGGGCAAAAAAGTAGCACATAAGATTAATATGTTGTTTGTCTCAATCCACATGAAAGAATTGAAGAATGATAAATGTCAATTTTGTAAAAGACTTGGACAATATCGGAAAGATTG